TGGCCACGTGCAAGGCAAACGCTTTACCCGCTGCACTATCTCTGTGACCCCAGTTCCAGTCATTTATGATGTAAAAGTTGAGTTAAATAAAAATTCTAAGTTTTGTATACTTTTGGGTAACAGTTGGTCAACCTAAAAATATCTCCTGCCATGTCTCAGACAGACGCAGCCTGCTCGAGCTGGGACTGACTCACCCTTCAGGCTCGACAGCAGCCACACGGGCTCAGCGAGATGTGCCCGACTGAGCACGTGTCTGGCTCTCCCAGAATGTCAAGCTGCTATAAAAAAGGTCCGCAGTGATCTCAGTTTTTGTATGTCTCCCATAATGCACTGGGAACAGCCCACAGACTGGCACTGGACCAGGGACCACTTTAAGCAGCCCGCTTGGTCCCCGGGGCAGTGACTGGAAGATTCCTTCGTTTTTTGGCACTAGCTTAAGGTAAAGGAGCACAGTAGTCCAACAAGGCCACAAGCCCCAACTCTAACCTCATCTTTAGAAGCCGCGGACACATCTACCCCAAATTCCCTTCCTCCTTTTGTTCTGTTGGGGTCTTTCCACCAACAAACTGCCTTTTCTTGCATTGCTCCAGTCTGCTCTGGTTGATCTTTCTCCCGAATCTTGTTGGTGTTTAACTTGACATTTTATAGTCCATAAACAGCATGTGGTCTTGCAAGGCAGCGAGTGTTCAAAACATGATAGGGACGTGTCTCAAGGACACAGGAGCCAACTAAAGGCATCACCAATGGCCAACTCTTGGATAATGGAAGAAAATCAATGTGAGCAACGGATTACCACATAGAGACTAAAATATCCATGAGCTCATACAGATATAACAGTGGAGTGAGAGCTTTTCTTTATAGAATTCTAATTACTGAAACAATGCACGATGTAAATAAAAGACCATCATTTGACAACCACCAACATTAGTAACTATTTCAGTCAAGAATTATCAATGGATACTAAAATGAATGAGTGGAAGTAGACGGAAAATGGGAGTCTTAAAGTGTCTAAAGGAAAAAATAGTAACTTGTATAGGGGAGAAACGTAGCAGACAGTTCCTACCAGGAATTAAGGTCACCAAAAGTGAGACATATTGGGACCACAGATACTACACTGGGTAGGGTATTTGCTGTGCACACGGCCAATCTGGCTTCAATCTCTGATATCCAATGCCTCACACCCTCAAACCCCGCCAGGAGTGATTCCTGAATGCAAAACCATGAGGAAAGGCTGAGCACCAATGATGTGACCCCAAAGCCAAAAAAATAGTGAGATGTCTTAAGATTACTGTAATGAGTTAAAACTCAGCTGTCTTCCGATAGAGATGTGTTAACAGGACAGGCCACCTCTGTGGTCTTCTTTCCCCAAATGTATAACCTGACTTTCACCAGGAGCCATTATCAAGTAAACCCCAATTACCGATAGTAGATAGAATAAATGGACAAGGAGCTGAGCCTACTGAATGCCAATTTTCATGAAATTGGAGCATTACCATTCCCCGTTAGATTAAAAACTGAATCAGGGCTGGAGAGAGAATATAGGGATAAGCACTTGCTTTGCATGCAGTTGACCCTGGATCAATTTCCAGCACCATATTTGTTTCCCCTGACCATGGCTGGGGGTCACTCGTGGCCACTGAGCCAGGAGTATCCCCAGAATACCATGGGTGTGGCCCAGATCCTCCTCCCACCAACAAAAGGGCCAGAGTGATAGTACATCGAGTAAGGTGTTTGCCTTGCATGTGGCCAATCAGTTTGGAACCCCAGCGTCCCATATGGTGCCACCCATCCCCAGCACCGCCAGGAGTAATTCCTGAGTGCAGTCAGGAGTAACTGCTGACCACTGCCGGGTGTGACACATAAAGCCAAAAAAAAAAAAAAACCATCAACCAAAAAACAAGCCCCCCCCCCCCGCCCCCGCCAAAAAATAATGGATGGAGATAGATTTAAGGATTTGTCCAAGATTGTTCAGCTGGTACGTGGTGAAACATGAACTGAATTCATCTGGCAATGCTCAGGGCTTACTCCTGGTGGGCTCAGGGGGCAGGCGATGGAGACTCTATGGGGTGTCCGGGATCAAAGCTGAATAGGCTGTATGCAAGAAGTCACCTACCTGGAGTACTCTTTCCAGTCCCCTCATCTGGGTGACTTTGGAGGCACTGCAATCACAATACTATCTATGGTCTTCGCTCGCAACTCTTTTGTTAATTTTTTAAAAAATTTTTTGCTTTTTGGGGTCACACCTGGCGATGCACAGGGGTTACTCCTGGCTCTGCACTCAGGAGTTACTCCTGACGGTGCTCAGGGGACCATATGGGATGCTGGGAATTGAACCTGGGTCAGCCGCATGCAAGGCAAACGCCCTACCCACTGTGCTATCACTCCAGCCCCTCACAACTCTTTTCTCAAGAAACCACTGTCACTGTCACTGTCCTCCTGTTGTTCACAGATTTGTTCGAGCGGGCCCAGTAACATCTCCATTGTGACACTTGTTACTGTGTTTGGCATATTGAATACATCATGGGTAGCTTGCCAGGCTTTGCCATGCAGGCAAGATACTCAAGAAACCACTGCATAGGAAATAATTCAGTCATGAAAAGCTAGAAAGAGATGACTTTACCTTGCTCAGTGCAAGACAATGTCACTGCATTCCCAGCAGGCCTTGACATTGACCCACTTCCCTTATCCCTTAGAAACAGTTTAATCCTCCATTAAAAAGTGGTGGTGGAGAATGGGGACTGGTGGAGGGATGGGTACTTGATCATTGTATAACTGAAACCCAAGCACAAAAATTTGTAAGTCTACAACTGTACCTCATGGCCCTCATGGTGTTTCACTAATAAAAATCTTAAAAAAAAAAGTAGGGGCTGGGCTGGATCGATAGCACAGCTGGTAGGGCATTTGCCTTGCACATGGCCAACCCGGGTTAGATTCCTAGCATCCCATATGGTCCCCTGAGCATCGCTAGGAGTAACTCCTGAGTGCATGAGCCAGGAGTAACCCATATATTGTCGGGTGTGACCCCCTCCCCCAAAAAAGTAGGGGCTGGGCCAGAGCAAGTAATGTACTGCCTTGCACATGGCCGATCCAGGTTTGATCCCCGGCACCCCATATGGTCCTCCAAACCCAGCCAGGAGTGACTCCTGAGAGCAGAGTCAGGAGTAAGCCCTGAGTACAGCTGGAAGTGGCCCAACACGCCCCCTGGCCTCCCTGCAAGTCAGGCTTGGGTGCAGAGCACATGCCTGAAATGTGTGCTGCCTTACATTGAGCCCCAGTACCCACAGTTCCCCTGTGGCATGGCATCCATGTTATTTGGCACCAATGAAAAATTTCAGAATGTCGTTCCCAAAACCTGAGATAGCTCAATGGCTGACTGCAAACTGCATGTGGGAGTCCTGGGTTTGATCCCCCACACTGCGTGCTCTTACAAATGCTTCCAAAAATGAGCCCCCAAATACCCCAAGTATTGCCTGGTGTGGCCCAAAAACAAAAAGAAGAAAAAAAGAACTCTCCTATCAAATAAGCCAAAGAAGTATAAATTGATATTCCATTATTCCTAGCAATCGTGAGCTTGTTTCATAAGATCTACCATGGGTAGAATCTGGGCTATTTAACAAACCTTGAATATTCCACCAATGACATATAAAGTGACTGAGGTCTATCCCTCAATGTCAGTAAACTAGCCTGCCACAAGGCTAGCTTTTTTGCCTCTCATGCAAATCTCGACATTGTGATTTATGTTCCTGAACAAATTAGACTTCATTTAAGAGCAAATCATCAGCAACAGGTATAATAATCTTGGCAGAACATTTATTTTAATTAATTGCTTTCTGGCTAACACAGCTAGAAGGGGGCTGATGCCATTTACCCTATAAGGATTAGTGCTGTCATGTAATTAACTTTTTCCCCCTTTCCCTAGAAGTTAAAGTCTCATCAGTTTTAAATTACAAAGGCATCAGTTTATTTTGTGTTTAATCATAACCACCTAACTGGTACGGTAATGTTTATGTAAGAAACATATAAAAGGAAAACAGATTGAACTCCTCTGTAGTATTATAGAGTTTGCTCCCAAACTCATGGTCTGCTGGGTTTCAAGGGAACCTGGTTGTTTTTGGGACAAGGAAGCTGATAAGCCCTTACCCCCATAAACTTGGCAGGAGGGAACAGTGGAGATCAGGCAAGTCATTGGAGAGTAACGTAGTTGTTCTTCCCTGCAGAGGCAGAGTGGATTATCACCTTCATGATTACTTAGACTTCACTGAGAGGCAAAAAACAAAAACAAAACCCCCAATTGACTCCATTTCTATGGAGGGTTAACTTTAACAATGTCATTGGCAAAGGTGCTCAACACTGCAAACTCCAGAGTTCCTTAGAAACAATCGAATGGTCTTTCCAGGGGTCAGGGCAATGTAATGCTCATACTATAATCTAACCATTTTGGTACATAATCATGAAACAGTGAAATTCTTGTTTTGTTTTCTTTTGTTTTGGGGCTACACCTGGCAATGCTCAGGAGTTACTCCTAGCACTGCACTCAGGAATTACTCCTGGCAGTACTTGGGGGCCATAAGGGATGCTGAAGATAAAACCTGTGATTGGTTGGCTGTGTGCAAGGAAAGTGCCCTACCCACTGTACTATCTTTCTAGCTCTCTCATAGGTATATTTCTTAAAAAATTATAACCTTTGAGCCATAATGCTAGATAGTCCCTTATAGTCTAACCAATTAGTTGCTTACCCATCTCTTACAATGTTAGGGAAATTTAAGCCTTTCTGACCTACAGAAAACAGCTCATATACACTCAGTAACAATACAGGTAGTAGAAATATGTTTCTTAGGGTGACACCAAGTCTCAGGAGGCAGTGAGAAGAAACAAATGTGTGGGTTTTTTTTAAAAGAAAAAACATGAATGCATCTGCAGTGAATAGCTAATTCTGATGAAATGAAACTGCCTGTAGGTTTTGACAATATAAAATGGAGTTCGTATGGAAAGGACACAAATTGGAATCACTATTAACTTTATTTTGTCACTCCTGATAGACATTGGTCCAATTCCACATGAAAAGTAGGGAGCATTGACTTCCACTTAATATCCTGAAGAGCAAGGTTGTACCACAAACCAGCAAAACTGACACAGAGGAAAAGCTGCTGAAAGAAAATGATTTTATAGTCATGCCCCGATATGTCCCCCATGCTTGTTTTTTCGTGTATAATTACAAGCATCTGTGTATAGTTCCACAAAGCCAGTTCCTTTTTAGATGTGGTATATTCATCTCTACACCATGCGGATCATCAAACTTCCAGAAGAAATCAAGAAAAACAAGCAGCTCTCTTCTCTGCTAATAAGAAATCCAAATAACTATCTAAGCGACAATATAAGCGACAATAAGTTTTCCTAGTTTAGGGCTACTCCAAGTTAAAAACCCGTTTTCCTTTTTCAGAGATATTTACATCAAATTGTGACAAATATAAATGGTTTTGAGAAGACAACTGCTGAAATATTTTCACCCAGCTTGTGTAAGGAAGTGAGCATTCACAAGTTTCTCTAACAAATTCAGTGCATTTCCCCAACATAAATAACACAAGCTATTCTAAATGTCTTATATTTATTTCAGTGCATTCAAATATTAAATGGAATGAAATGATATCAAATGGTTATTGTAAGATTCAAGCATATTATGGAATCTATTATCACATAAACCAGTTCACATCAATACTATAATCCACTCTAAAAAAACAGCACAGGCACACACAAAATAGAGAACAAAATTTGCTTCCTTTTTTATATATAAATTTAAAGTATGTTACTACTTTAAACTACACGAGAGATTAATCTTTAACAAAATAGGAAATTCCAAACCCCTTTTCTAAGTTTGGTATGAGGACAGTTCAATCCATCCGAATCTTCTGGTTTGTCATCCTATAAATGATGCTCTCATATCCAGGATCCATGTTCCAAATATTGTAAGAGGTGATAATCACAGCCAAGGCCAGGCCGATTGATATCCAAAGGACCATGTTGAAAATCACTGAGTACTCAAGGTTATACTTATATGCAAGGTTGTAAGGAGCTTCATCATTCTACAGTGAACAAAGAGAAAAGAGTGAAAACTTTTTAATATAGAACATTATGCCAATTCTGTAGCCCTGATTCATTTATTTAACACAAAAGTACATCTTGTATGACTTCATATGAAATTCAGACAAGCAACCACATTGTTTGAAGAGAAGTAAGTAGTCAAACTCAACAGAGGTCGGCAAATAACTAATATAACGTTCTGGGTAGCAATTACCTCTAGCAGGGAGGAGAACGCTACACTGGGGGAAATGTGAGAGAAACAAGCAATCCTTTCAGTTATGTGGTGCTGAAATGGCAATTTTCTTCTTTAAATGAATCATATAATTGCATTATTATATACACAGCTAAAAGCCGTCCAAGAGGTACTTAATCCCTCCTGGCAAAGGCAGTGTTAGGGAAATTTAGCTCATTCTGGCTAGACACTGGAAAAGAAAGTAAGAGATGAAAGTAAGAGATGAAGCTGTGTGAGGCCCTGGGTTTGATCCCCAGCACTGCAAAAACAAACAAACAAACCCACCCCAAAACCTCCTCCGAGGTGAGGTGAGAAGCAGGGAGGGAGGCTGTGCAGAATCTGAGGCATCTGAGCTATGAGAAGCCAGTGACAGAGTTTAAGGCAGGAAGTTAGGGCTAGTTTTGTTCTTCCTGGCCAACTAATTTTTTTTTTCCTTTTTGGGCCACACCCGGTGATGCCCAGGGGTTACTCCTGGCTCTGCACTCAGGAATTACTCCGGCAATGCTCGGGGGACCGTATGACATGCTGTGAATTGAACCCGGGTCGGCCGCATGCAAGGCAAACGCCCGACCTGCTGTGCTATCCCTCCAGCCCGGGCCAACTCTTTCATTCTCTGCTCATTTGAAGTGTAGGACACTACACAGTTCAGCACATTTCTCAAGTTGCACAGTCACCACCGCAACCTAATTTTAGAGCATTTCCTCGCCCTACAAAGGAAGTGTCAGCTGAAGACTTCTTTTGCTCAGCAAGCAGGCCAGCCCAGCATGAGTATTGAGAGCAGACACAGGCCAGGGGCGCCTGGGAGACGTGCCAGGAGCTAAAGGGGCACAGGCCAAAGGCTAGTCCGGAAACACCTGGTCCTGAAAGTGAGGGCTTTGTCTTTCTCAATTTTTTGTTTTGGGGCCACACATAGCGATGCTCAGGGTTACTCCTGGCTCTACATTCAGGAATCACTACTGGAGGTGCTCAGGGGACCCTATGGGGTGCTGGGGATAGAATATGGGTTGGCGACATACAAGGTCAGGGGATTGAACCTGGGTCGGCTGCTGCACTATAGCCCCAGCCCCTGACCCTCCCATCTTTCTACTAAAGGTTAACAAAACCTCTGGTGGGGTGCTTGCCTTGCATGCAGCTTACCCTGGTTCAATCCCTGAAACCCCACATGGTCTCCAAACCCTACCAGGAGTAAGCCCTGAGCAAAGCTGGGTGCACCCCCCCTTACCAAAAAAAAAAAAAAACAAAAACTCACGAAACAAAAAAGACAACTCAGTCTTAGACTTAGGTTCTGTGAGGAAATGTTCATTTGCTATGTAGGATGTGAAGGAAATAGGAAATCGGAACATCACCTGCTCCTTGCCACATATGCATGAACTTGAGAAACTATTCCCAAACAGAAACCCAGTTTCTTTGCTGAAGCTCAACTCACTAGCAAAGGCCACTGATGCCCCACTGCACACAATTCAGCTCCACCAGCATGGCCTGTCCTACTCCAGGAATCAGTGCCTCTCTCCAGAGCCACTTCACAGCAAGCTGGCAGGTGTGATGTGGGCAGGGATGGAGTGAGGGCTTTAAAGGGCTTTCTATCTGCCTTCACAAAATGTCATGTGGTGATACTCAGGGGTTACTCCTGGCTCTGCACTCAGGAATTATTTTTGGTGGGGTCAGGAGACCATATGGGATGCCGGGAATTAACCCCAGGTCGGCTGCATGCATGGCGAGTGACCCGCCTGCTGATGTATGGCTCCACTGTGTCCCTTCTCTCTTGAGAGCTACAGCCTGCCTTCAGAAGAGCATGTGCTTTGCAGCCCTCAAGGCTGGGCGGACTGGACGTGGGATCTCTAGCTTGCCACGCTGCCTTAAGGACAGGTCCCTTAACACCATGTGCTTCAAGGCAAGGGTGCTGTGTCAGCCCCTCTCAGCCCCCCACGAATAAGAGACCCAGGCTGTCTCCAGCGGTCCTGACCAGCGCCTTCCTTTGACCCTTCCGTAACAGCACAGTGTGTTGCTTTTCTTTGTAGAACTTCGCTTTGGACAAGTTCATTCACTTAATTCTTCAGCTGCAAAGCGAGGTCTGAAAGGAGGCACTTACCTCATCCCTCAGCTGAAGAATAGTCCTAGTCTTCCTCACAGAGGACGTGTCAAAGGCTCTGACAGTCACCAATTCAACCACTGCGTTGCCACCATACAGGTTGTACATGTCATCTGCAAACTGAGGAGTCATCAGCGTTACTATGAATCACAGACTCGCATATCAAAAGGAGTGTGAAAGCCGGGCACAGGGTTCAGGCGCAGGCCCTGCAAGCGCAAGAACCAGGTTCAATCTCCACCACCATTGTGGTTGCTCCAAGAATCACCGAGGGGGGCCCCAGAGGCCCTGGGCAACGCAGGGTCCAAGCAGTGTTGCATCCTCAGGTCCTAACCCTGAAAAATATTAGTGAGAAGCTTCTATGCAGCTCCAAAAGATTCTATTTATCTCTTAGCTCATTAAAATACATTATGTCTTCAAAGAGGCAAATTTTAAGGGTTGCTGATTGTTAATGCAGTCGCCAGTATTAATCTACAACATATATTCAACTGTCCTGAATGAATGTAAGAGACCGAGTGTACTGGGGGTGGTGGGGGGTGGTAGGGCGCAGGGCAGCAAAGGGAAAATGCAATCCTCCTAGGTGGTCTCTGGGTAAGCCCGAACATCTGCAAAGATTTAACCTTGGAGCCTCACTGAAGAGATGCAGGTGGGTGAGTTCAGGGAAAGGGACTTACGAACATTTACTGTAGATCTACTCGGCACCTGGTAGTGGGCCAAGTGTTCTCTTTGGGTTTGGTCAGCGGTGAATGGGCAGAGTCACAGCTGGAGACGATGAAAGGCAGTTGCGCATGTGAGCAAAGTCAGTCATGCAGAACTGTACCCTTAAAACGGGGCAATCCGGTCATTTCCGTGTCTTGTCTACTTTGCCATGATTTGAAGGGGGAAGCTGGATGTTGGTGGTATTCTGATGGAGATCACTCATTCCCTAGACGGCACCTCCAGCATTAATTAGGTCGATACCTTGGAGCAACCTCCTCCTTAGTGACCTAGTGCAGCAATTCCCGAAAGAGGGCCAAGACCCTGCCATCGCCAGCATGTGTCACATACATGTGCCTCCACGGAGAGGCTGGCAGTGAAACAGCCCTCCTCAAACTTCTCAGACCCCGCCAGTCTCTTACTTTTTGCAGAGCATCCGCAAGGATCTTTGAGGCATCTTGGAATTGTGGAGAATCTTCTCCATAATGCTTCCTAATTTCATCCAAGCCCGCCAGCTCCAGCGAATATAAATCAGGAGAATGATCTTTGGCTAGATGCTTGTGCCGAGACAACTTCAGGTAAAAAACAAAGAAAAACAGCAGGGGGAGAGAGCCACGTCAGACAGAGCCCACGGCAGCTGGACACCTAATGCCAAGCCAAACTGAGCAGAACCAGTAGCCACAGTGGACAGTCTAAAATGGTGGCCTGGCCCTTTCCTCCCTGTCCCAACGAGACCTTGAGTCACCGCCCACAAATGGCCTCTCTGGCTCCTGATCAAGCTGCTTAATGGCCACGATCTCAGAGACTAAGGAACAAATCTCAGAACCCAGCAGGTTTTGGCAAGAAATCACTCCAGATTTAATTGTTAAATTTTGGAATTTCAAAATTGCATGGCCACTACTGCAGCCACGTGACATCATATGTTATTCATAACAAGCAATAGAAAACAAATTGTCTACTGTTGCCTTTTCAGCAGATCTGAGTGTTGGGGTAAAATCCCAAATAATGGTGGGTGTGGTGTCAAAATATTGAATGTAATTGAAGTAGAGAGAGAGTAATTTGGAAATCATCTGCCCCACAGGTAGGGGGAGGGTGTGGGATGGGGGCATACTGGGGTTTTTGGTGGTGGAAAATGGGCACTGGTGAAGGTACGGGTGTTTCATTGTATGGCCGAGACTTAAACCCGAAAGCTTTGTAACTGCTCTCAGGGTGATTCAATAAATAAAATTATAAAAAATGGAAAAAACAAAGTAAAGTGGAGTTCATGCCCAATTCAATCAGCCTAATCAGTGGCTGAATAAATAGCAGTTCTCCTACATAAAAAAAAATGGTGGCCTGGTTTAAATGGGAATTCCTGATGCCACAAATCCCCAGACAAATCTCATTTTGGGGAGGCAGTTATAAGACTTTGTATGTGTTAAAAATATCTTTAAAAAGGCCTCAGTTTAAAAACCCTCAATATGGGCCAGGAGTGACCCCTGAGTGCAGAGCTTGGAGTCAGCCCTGAGAACAGCTGAGTGTGGCCATGCTCCCACCCCCCAAAAAAAGAAATTAATAGCTAGGAGTGCATCCATTGTGCCCTGGCCCCCAGGCCAATCTTCATCCATTTTTCCACTTTCACAGGACCATCAATCGAGGACAGACTTAGCCACCATTTCAATCGGTCTCACTATCACTCAAGGATCCTCTTGCAATAATCTCCCTGGAGCCAAAATAGCACAGCCTACTTACCAAGCTGGAAATATCATGCAGCACTTGCAGTTCCGAGAGAAAAAGCAGATCCACCTGGAGAGAGAGTGCAGAGACATGCACGTCACTAGTTGGGGACACATCTATCTGTGGTTTATCAGGGCACGCGCAGGGCCTTACAAACATTACGCACCCAAGTGAATGGATGCTGCAACACCCACCCTCCATCTGGTAGGTTCGCTTCCATTGCAAATGTGTGTAAAATGGTCCCTTGAACCCTGCCAGAAAATGATCCCTGCGCGCAGAGCCAGGAGTAAGCCCTGAGTGCTGCTGGGTGTGGCCCAGAAACAAAAAAAAAAAAAAAAGAAGAAGAAGAAGAAAAAAAGAAAACACACCAAAAGACCCATGTTATTTCCTAATGACGTTTCATCGAACAGGTCATCGTGATTTCTCAGCATGGTGAGGACCACTCAACAGTAATATTTCTTTTCTTTTTTGTTTTTTTTTTGGGGGGGGGCACACCTATTGGTGCTTTAGGGATCATGCAGAGGCAGGGATATACCTTGCAGCGCCCACGTGGCAAGAATGCACTTGGCCCTTTGAGCACCCTCTCCCTGGTGCAACACCTGGCCTTGGCTGCAATCCAGGGGCTGGTTGCTCATTCTTCAGGCCCGTGTTCCCCCTGGAACATGAATCTCCATTGCCTGCTGCCCATGTCCACTCTTGAACACATTTCCCTTCTTCCTTTCCTCTTACATCTAAGTAAGTTTCAATGAAAACAAACATACAACTACCTTGCTTCACTTTTTTTTTTGGGGGGGGGGGGCGGTGTCACATTTGGTAATGTTCAGGAGTTACTCCTGGTATTGCACAGGGGACCTTATGGGATGCTGGGGATTGAAGCCGGGTCAGCCACGTGCAAGGCAAACATTCTCTGGGGCTGGAGCAATAGCACAGCAGGTAGGGCATTTGTGTTGCATGCAGCTGACGGGGTTCAATCCCCAGCCTTCTATATGTTCTGGTCCACTGCAGTACCCGGTTTGCTATTTCCCTAGCTTGCTCTCCACATCAGACTCAAAACCAGTGCGCTCCCGGTCATCTAGAGTTGGTAAGAGGGGTAGTGTGTGACAGCGATGGCATGCCATGTGGTTAAGAAGGGTGCATGAGTGGGTGGTGAGGCTGACACGAGCTGACGGACGGGAGGCAAAAGGAAGGGCGCTCCCTCCACTGTACTGTCAAGAATGAAGTAGAAAAACGAGGCAACACATCTGAATTGGCAGTGAATAATGGCTCCCACATTGCCACTTCGACACAGCTCCACCACCCACCAAGTGGATACCGAGACTTCTGCCTTGTCAGGATTAATTGGTGGCAACCCTTGTTCTCGAACACACTATTTATGATAGCTGAACTCACAAAGGAGTCCGTTTATCTGTGCAAGTCGCACGAAAATTACACCAAGGAAGAACCCATGACAGCAGGAAACGTGCAAAACATTTCAGTGCTGAGTTTGCCTGTAAATGAGAAGCCCAAGAAGTGGGAAACTGGCCAGGACACTTGTTTAGTCATTCAACAACGGCACTTCTTACTTCATTGTTCCTACTCAGAGAGTTGACGGGGAGGGAATTGAGAACAGAGTTTTCTTGAAACAGGCGACTATGGAGCTGTCGCAACGTCACGGAGAGGTCTTCAAAAACTGAGTTCGCCTTCCCCACCATATACACTCTCTGCAAGAAGAATTCCAAATGTTAAGTGACATTCCTACAGACTAATCCCAACATACAGAAGTCTGACAGCTATTTTCCATGACATAAGCTTTACATTTTCATTACACAAAAGCGCACTGTTTAAGCATCTTAACAACAACAACCCCCCCACACCCCGCATGGTATCACTTACTTCCTCGCTGGGCGCCAACTGCAAGACCACTGGCGTATCTTCAGAAAATAAGGAGTGAATGGCATTTGCAACGCTGTCAAGACTGAAAGGAACTGCCTGAAATGCAAAAGCCAGACTTTAATCGCTATCAGAAGCAAAATAAGAAAAAATGTCATTCAGATGGTACTCATAAAAGGACCCCCTTTCCTCCCCCACCCCAAAATACCATTTTCAAAGGCATTTTCAAAGGACCCAAATCACACCCAAAGACAAAGAGCTCTTTTGAGGTCACAGAAGACTGAATAGCCCACCCGGTGGGCCAATGAGTTTCTATCTCCCAATGGGCCTGCATGAGAAAGAACTTGCTAACACAGGACAAGAAGGACAGGAGCTAGCAAAAACTATTATTTTTCTGGTGGCCATTCCATTCATATACTTAAGCGGCAAAACGTTTTGGTTCAATACTAATGAAGCAGGTGGCAATGAAGTATTCTACAGTCTATTAAGGTGTGTTCCCAAGGTCACAGGGATTCGAACAGAATTTAACTGAAAGAGAACAAACCTCATTTTTCATGTCAAAATGTAAAAAAAAAGTTGAGTAAGATTTAGTATTTGTCTTTAGGTCAATTGAAGACTCTTTCACAAGGCATGGGGCATGTCACAAGAATTCTGAAGTTGGGGCCTGAGAGCTAGCACAGCAGGGAGGGCACTTGTCTTGCATATGGCTGACCAGAATTTGATTCCTGGCACCCCATTGGGTCCCCTGAGCCCTGCTAGTAGTGATCCCTGAGTGCAGTCAGGAGTCAGCCCCAAGCACTGCTGGACATGGTCCAGGAACAAAAATTTCGAACTATAAAAAAAAATTCAAAGAACTTTGAAGACATTATTCCCACCCCACTTATCCCTCCACACCTACATGTCTTCCGGCCCTCTATTCTTGCCCTACATTCTTTCTTATAAAAGAAACGATGTTTTTTCCCTTCAAAAAATATTTCCATCTCAATCTGGCGTTTTGGACCACACCTGACAATGCTCAGGGGTTACACCTGGCTCTGCACTCAGGAATCACTTTTGACAGTGTTTGGAGGGGATCACAACGGGATGCCAGGGATTGAAGCCGGGTCGGCTGTGTGCCAGGCCAACACCTCACCCACTGTACTATTGCCCTGGCCCCTCCATCTCGATCTGCCTACAGCAATCAAACGCTGTGGTAAATCACACATGGCAGCAGTAATGGCTTTGCTTCAGTGGCAATTTAAGGATTTGTCTCTTGCAAGTAATCCCCTTTTCTAGCTCATCTTAAAAGGTTCCTGTTTGGAGCAAACGACTTGTGAACATGGCACAGGCAGAAATGATATGTAAAGCCGATGAAATTCAAGCATCAAAATTCAGTTGCTCAGTTTCATGATCTGGGAAATGAAATCCGTTTTATTTAATTTTTCTCTCTTACTTCATAGGTGTGAACCCTTTCATCCCCAAATTCTCTTCAAATGAGGTCCTGAGTAAGTGAAGCCAGGGAAAATGTGTTCGAACAGTCAAAAGCGCCTCTGTTACCGGCAACCTGAATCAGCCCAGTGCCAAGTGGCCCCCACCTTCTGTAGTGGGACAGTTGGATTCCTCAGGCTTTGGACGGAATGAATATAAGAGCAAGTCCCAGGAATGCTCCCATCTCGCCTCCCTCAGCGATGGTCCCATGGCTAGAGAGATGGAGATGAGAAGGAGCACTCCTCAACAATCAGACCGCAAAAGCGACTGGGTTTGAGGAAAGCACCAGATTGAAGGGCTGGAGAGCTGAGCGCAGCTGCTTAAGACCCAGTCATCAGGGGCTGGAGCGATAGCACAGTGGGTAGGGCGTTTGCCTTGCACGCAGCCAACATGGCCGACACAGGTTCGATTCCCAGCATCCCATATGGTCCCCCGAGCACCGCCAGGAGTGATTCCTGAGTGCATGAGCCAGGAGTAACCCCTGAGCATCGCCGGGTGTGACCCAAAAAGAAAAACAAAAAGAAAAAGAAAAGACCCAGTGATCAGAGCAGAGCGACAGCACAGTGGGTAGTACAGCCTTGCACATGGCTGAGCGGGGTTCGAGCCCCAGCCTCCCATATGGTCCTCTGAGCACCACCAGGAGTGATTCCTGAGTGCAGAGCCAGCATTAACCCCTAAGCACCACCAGATATGGCCCCCAAAACAAAATAAAAACCTAAGCAAGGGGCTGGAGCAATAGCACAGTGGGTAGGGCATTTGCCTTGCACGCGGCCAACCCAGGTTCGATTCCCAGCATCCCATATGGTCCCCCGAGCACTGCCAGGAGTGATTCCTGAGTGTAGAGCCAGGAGTAACCCCAGAGCACCGCCAGATGTGGCTCCCAAAACAAAATAAAAACCCAAACAAATAACAGCAACCCAAGATCCAAGGACCGTTTCATTCTGCTGAATTATAAGGCTAAGCACGTTGGTCCTCGAGAAAAATGGCATCGCTGCACTGCAGGACCTGCAATTACTCTTTTGAGTGAGGACTTGGGGAAGGGGGCCTGGGGCCACCCCTGGCGGTGTTCTTGCTGGGTTTTGCCATCTGGGTTCCCCACCTACTACTGGCAAACATTGGGAGCTGCTGCTCCGGGTCCAGCACTAGCACCCGCTCCTCTCACAGCTATTGGTCAGGTAAAAGGAAGCCAAGAGGTTTGGAGATGTTGGCAATTATGCGCTGAAGAAAATCAATGACCTCTTGAAATTTGGAGGGCGGCTTGGGAGAGCTGCTCAGGAACTGTTCCCAGTGTGCTGCTTTGGAGTGCAGGGATGGAATTCAGGCATCCACATGCCAAACTAAAGAAAATCGATGACCTCTTGAAATTTGGAGGGCACCCTGTTCCCGGCTCTAGCCCTTTGAATGGCCTCTCCTGCTGCTCAACATTTTGCTTTGCACTGCTGTTGTTTGGGGGCCATATGTGGCAGTGCTCAGCGGTTTTCTCCTGGGGTTGTGGGTCACTTCTGGTGGTCCCCAGGGGACCATGTGGTGGCAGTGATTGAACCCGGACCTCCTGCATGCAAAGGACATGCACCAGCCTTTTGACTCATGTTCTCCAGCCCAACATTTTATTATTTTTCCATATTTTGAAGAAATCTCCCACAAGTTTCTGAAAATTATGTAATAAAGTCTTTGTAAAGACTAAACTTATTTATTTATTAATTTATTTTTTGCTTTTTGGGTCACACCCAGCAATGCACAGGGGTTACTCATGGCTCTGCACTCAGGAATCATTCCTGGCAGTGCTTGGGGGACCATATGGGATGCTGGGAACCGAACCCGGGTCGGCCGCGTGCAAGGCAAATGCCCTACCCGCTGTGCTATCTCTCCAGCCCCAAGACAAAACTTTTTTTAATCTGCCTGTCGATTTTTATTGTTCCCTTCCTTCCATTCACTTTGGAAATTAATGTGCTAAAGAAAGCAGAACTTAAATCTATAAATTGCATGAACATGTGCGTTTAAAGGTAATAAATTATATCCACATTGAAGAGTAATAAATTTTCCTCTTCTGACCACTTCAGCTACACCTCAATCTTTCTATAGTGGCACATTCATTGATACTCAGTTTCAGGTAATTTCACAACGTCCACTATGATTTTTCTCCTCACTTTGTGTATTTTTTTGAGTACCAAAGATCAAACCCAAGCTTCGTACATGCAAGGCATGTGCCCTGCTACTGCGCCACACCCCCAGCCTTTGCCTTTGAAAAGAAGTTAAGAGGGTCAGGGGGCTGGTGTGATAGTAGACTGGGTAAGGTGGTTGCTTCGCATGTGGCCAACCCAGGTTTGATCCCCAGCACCCCAGACGGTCCCCGGAGCCCACCAGGAGTGATCCCTAAGTGCAGAGCTGGAGAGACAGTAGCGCTGCAGTAGGGCCCCCCTTGGGCCCCCAACACCCCTCCTGCCAGGAACAATACCTGAGCACAGCCAGGTGTGGCCCAGATTTCAAAAAAAAAATAAGAGTCCTATATACACTCGGTTCCCATAAAAAGAATTCTAAAAGACATAACGAAAAATCAGCTTGCCCCTTCTCTGAATTTCCTGTTTTTGTCTGACCCTTTCCAATCTATAGCTTCCTTTATACCACCACCTGGAAGTGACATGCCCCTGCTACCCCATCCTGGCTTTTCTTTTCCCTTTTGGGGGGTTGTGCGTCACACCCAGCAGTGTTCAGGGCTGACTCCTGCCTTGGTGCTCAGGGACCACACAGGAATCAAACCAGGGCAAGCCTTGTTGCAAGGTAGGTAGGTGCTTGAACCCCTTAGCTCGTCTACTTGAAGCATCGTCTATTTAGTTAGAGGAGATGAGAATTTAGTGTTCCCCCATCATCCACCACCCGCAGCCCTTGCCAACCCCCTGCCCCCACCCCCACGACTTCTCTCCACCCTAATAGCTCAACCGCCATTTTCACCGGATCAATATCATTTCTCGATTACGGCCATGTAAACAATCTTCCCCCGCCTGAGCCATCTAGTATGCAATTACTGCCAGTCTGTCCTTGATCTTATGGCAAAGAGGAGAGGGCGCTCCCATCCCCCCGCCACCCCCCCTCGGCTCATTCTCGTGCCGCAGTGGTGTGTTTTTGCTCTCTGAGAGCTTTTGAGATTTTTTCCTGTGTCCACAAAGGCTTTCAATTTTCCTCTGTCTAAGTGTTCATTTGGCCTTGGCCTACTGACTGAGTGCTCAGTGTGCTTTAGACCGGATGACTCATGCATTATCCTTGACTGTTTTTCACATTTCCAAATACATTTTTAAGGGCTCATTTTGTTATTTTCTAACTTAACAGCATTGTGGTCAGAGAGCATGGTTTATATGATACCCATTATTTGTTGAGATTTGCCCCCCCCATGGCCTCGTTTGTAAGCACAGAAGTAGTGCTTCCAAAAGCATATTATGAGGTGCTTGAAAATAATCTTTACTAGAAAGGCTGAAAGTACTGCCCCCTCAAGTCACCACACAGACCAGGAGTCTTACGGTGCCAGGATAGTAGCAACTAGCTTTCTTTTTCTAGCTATTCTTCTGTTGTTGCATTTTTTGCTCTTTTGAGGGGAGAGTTGGGGGGCAGTGTTGGCGCTTCACCCATGCAAGGCCTGTTCTGTCTCTGTACATTCCTTGGCCCTGCTGTTTTTTGGAAAATTTCTTTGAAAAGAACTGCCACATTACACATCATTTACTCATGGGTTACAGAAATCAGTAACAAGAGTTGGGGAGATGATCAAAGAACTGTGCATGTTTTGCATGCTGGAGCGCCAGGCTTGATCTCCAGGCTTGATCTCCAGCACTGCATGGTCCCCCGAAAACCTCAGAAGTGCACACTGAGTCAGAAGTAGTACTGAGTTAGTAGTATTGTCAGGTGTGGCCCAACCTCCGCCCCCATGAATGTCAACAATGGAATGTTTAAAAAGCACATAGCCAAGAAAGCACCAGATACCCAAACTACCTCATCATTTCTATTCTTTTCCTTACTTCCATATTTGGTTGGTTGTTGGTTTGGGGGTCACACCCAGCAGTACTCAGGGGACCATACTCAGCGTCTGGGATGGAATAGGGCTGGGCCGCGTGTTAAGGCAAGTGCTTTGGGGCCAGAGACAGAATACAGAGGATAAGGTGCTCGTTTTGCACACAGCCAGTCTGGGTTTGATGTCAGTAACCACTTGTGGTTCCCTCAGCCCCTCCAGGAGAGTTTCCTGGGCATAGAGCCAGGAATATGAGCACCTGGCTGTATGAGCACCTCTGAGTGTAGCTGAAAAAACAACAACAAAAAAAAGTAAAAAAAAAAACCAGCAAACACCTTAACCTCTATAGTACTTTTCTGACCCTTACTTACATATTTTAAATGCAGATTATTTGCTTTTTTTAAATGGTTTTTGAGTCATACCCAGCAGTGCTCAGAGGTGATGGGCTTTGTGCTCAGGAATCACTCCTGGTAGGTCTCAGAGGACAACATAGGATGCTGAGGAACAAACCCTTACTTGCGCCTTACTTGTGCTATTATAGCTCTGGCCCCAAGTGTGGGTTATTTTCAAATTTCTTTCTGGGACTGGTCTTTTATCTGTAGTGTTTTTATTTGGGGATGGGCTGGTGTTTGGCCACACCTGGTGATGCTCACAGCCTACTCCTGGCATGTGGTCAGGAGGAACCTTACTTGGGGGCGGGGGAACCATGTGGTCCCAAGAATCAAATAGAAGTGAGCCTTAATCCCAGTAACATCTCTCTGGCCCCTATATTCTGCAGTTTTATGAGGCTGAATCCATGCTAGTTACACCTGCTGACTTAACCCATTCGCACTTATTGATTACAGAACCGAAGGAGGCCCAGGTTCCAGGAAGTGGCTCGGTGAGTCAGGAGCACAGCACACCACCTGCAGTGGATTTCTCTTTGAGGCCTCTTTGGGGCCCACATTCAGTGGTGGGGTAGGACAGGCCAGCTGTCATGTGGCACCCCCTGAGCAGCTGGGGGGGGTTCACCAGTCCTTTTTCCAAGAAGAAGACAACAGTGAAAGTACAGCAAGTAGGATCTCGCATACAGTCAACCTAGGTTCAATCCCTGGCACCCCATCGGATCCGCCAGAGCCCTGCCAGGAGTGATCCCTGAGAGCAGAGCCAGGAGTGGCTCCAAAACAAGCAAACAAGACAAGATTTCTGAACCCCTTATGCTCCCCACTGGGACTCTGGGGGTTTCCAGTCCTCGCTGTGTACTCCCAGGTGAGGCAGGTTGAGTGATAACATGTAAGAACGTTTTGGTGACTCCCGTCTCTCTGCGTGGAAAGAAGGGGTGCGCCTGACAGTTCCGTGAGCAACTGCCCGACAGGTCAATGAATGAAGAAGCGAGCAAAATGCAACTCTCGCCAGCCCCAAAAATGAGGTCAACTCTAGAAGATAAAGGCGATTCGAGGATGTCCAAGAAAATGTCATCAGAATGGGTCAGAGAGAAAGTGCACCGGGCGGGGCACTTGCCTTGCACACAGCCAACCCAGGTTGAATGGCCAGCACCCCATAGGGGCCCTGCAGCCCCCTGAGCGCAGAGCCAGGAGTAAGCCCTGTGCACCTCCAGGTATGCCGCCCCCGCCCCCCCCCCCAAATAAATGTCATCAGGAGATACCCTCAATTTGGGACTTTTTTTGAACCCGACCACCATGTCCTTTGTGTCTGTGTCATACCAGTGGTGCTCAGGGCTTACTCCTGGCTCTGCACTGAGGGATCACTCCTGGAGGTGCTCAGGGGACCTTATGGGGTGCTGGGGATGGAAAGCAGGTTGGCAGCGTACAAGGTCTGCGCCTTACCTGATGTACTAGCTCTTGTCACCCCAACATGTCATTTTTGTTGTTGTTGGTTGGTTGTTTGGGGGCCACACCCAGTGGAAGTGCTCAAGGCTTACTCTTGGCAGGGTTTGGGGGGACCATATGCAGTGTCGGGGATTAAACCTGGGTTAGCTGCATGCCAAGCAAATGCCCCACCAGCTGTACTATCACTCCATTACTCCTCATTTTTTCTTTTTCACAAAATAGAAATGGTCTCACTCAACAATAAGTGAATTTTTTTAAAAGGATAAGTGTGCTTAGAACACAATTCATAGCAGTGGCCAACAAGGCAAAACTGTTGACTACTTGTCTTTCACTTGTTAAAAGAGATACTCACATTCTCCAAAGGGTAGGAAATGACACTGCTGGGGAGTAGAGCGAGTCTGTCTACTCCCTTCACCATCACCATCACAGTGGCCCGGGGACGATGGAAGAGGTTCCCCACTGCCAGTCCCGGCCAAGACAGGTCCTAATGGGAAAAGCACAAAATGGAGCAGTCATGCACCTGGGAAACAGAACAATGCCCCCATCCCACACCATCTGTACCATCTAGCTCGGGGAGCCCATAGGCTCCGGGCTGCCACAGGCACATGGACATCATGGGGAGGGTGGACATCTTAGCTAAGTCAGCAGCAGTCATCTGACCCAGTAGGCTGTTTCCTTTATCTTTTTCTTTGTCTGTTTTGGCCACTCATGGTGATACCCAGAGGTTACTCCTGACTCTGCACTCAGGAATCACTCCTGGTGATGCTCGAAGGACGCTATGGGATGTGAGGGACAAAACCCGGGTCGGCTGCATGCAAGGCAAATGTCCTCCCCACTGTGCTATCGCTCTAGCCCCCTTCCTCATTTTCTTTAAACTCCCACAGACTGGAAACAGTCAAATTTAAGAGCAAGTTCCACTCAAATATACTTTGTTTGAAAAGCAAGAGACCCAGCCTCAAAGAGACCCTGAGTCACTGCCCACAAACAGCCTCTCTGGTTCCTGATCAAGCTGCTTAACTGCCATAATCCCAGAGACTCAGAAACAAATCTCAAAACCCAGAAGCTTTTGGCAGAAATGCATCTGGTCCCCGCAGTAGGTTCTGGGCCACTCCAGGTGGGAATAGGTTTTGTGCCTTGGCCTGTTCCCCCTGGTGGCTCGGTGGCCGCCATCCTCTGGAGGCCATTGGACAGTCAGTCAGATTTGGGCCCACAGTGATAAGATATGTGGGGCCTCACGGGATGGGGGTTGAACTGGTCCTTTCCTCCCTGCTCCATCGACATTCCAGGTCGCCGCCCACAAACAGCCTCTCTGGCTCCTGATCAAGCTGCTTAACGGCCATAATCCCAGAGACTCAAGAACAAATCTTGGAACCCAGCAGGTTTTGGCAGAAATCCCTCCAGATTTAATTGTTAAAATTTCAGAATTCCAAAATCGTGTGGCCACTACTGCGGCCATGTGACATCATATGTTATTCATAATCAGCAATAGAAAAAAATTGTCTACATTTTGCCTTTTCAGCAGATCTGAGTGTTGGGGTAAAATCCCAAATAATAATGGTGGGTCTGGTATTGAAATACTGAATATAATCAAAGTAGAGAGAGAGTAATGTGGAAATCATCTGCCCCACAGGTAGGGGGAGGGTGTGAGACGGGGGGTACACTGGGGTTTTTGGTGGTGGAAAATGGGCACTGGTGAAGGGACGGGTGTTTCATAATTGTATGACCGAGACTCAGACCCGAAAGCTTTGTAACTGCTCTCATGGTGATTCAGTAAATAAATTTATAAAAAGGGGGAAAAAAAAGAGAGAACTGGTTTTTTTAGGAAGCTTGCCACTGGGGGAGGGTGAGGGAGATGAGTTAGGGAAGGAAACACTGAGATAATTGGGGAGGGGGAGGGGAAGTGCCACAGTAGCAGGCTGGGGGGTGGGGGCGAGAGGGAGGGAAACGGGGGGGGGGGGGGGTTTGGTGGAGAGAAATGGACATTGGTGAATGGATGGGTGTTGGAACAACATATGCCTGAAACTTAATAATGAATAACTAACTTCATAAGATGATTTTTAAAAAGTTAAATTAAAAAAACCGAAAAAAGCTATGTGTGGGAAAGTCTGCCAGTAATCCAAACAGGACCTGTTCCTATCACAGACTACAAACTAGTTTCTTCCAAGAAGAAATTCGACATTTCCTTCTGTTGGATCCTCTTCTGTCCCGAACAACACAGCATTGCTTCTCTGTCACAGTGACCCACCAAGATGCTATGAATAAAACAAAATCCCTGCTGGAAGCAACTCCTATTACTTCACTGATCACGGCTATTAAAGGTTATTTCAACAGCCATTTGCTGTCAAATTTAAGACCACAAGGCACAAATGTCCTCCTTAATGACAGGCACCCCTGCTGGCCTGAAGAGGCAGCTCCCGGTGAGGTTTCTTTCAGGTTTGGGGGACAACTTAAGGGGAAAGTGTCTTTAAGTGACAGATGGTACTGAGAGACCCTGCCAAAGGTGGCAAGGTGCTGGAGAGAGAGCACACCAGGTAGGGTGCTGGTCTTGCACACAGCTGACATGGGTCCGATCCCCGCCATTGCACATGGTTCCCTGAGCCCACCAGGAGTAATTCCCGAGCACAGAGCCAGAAGAAACCCCTGAGCATCACCAGTTGTGGCCCAAAACCAAAATTACAATAATTTTAAAAAAGTGCCTGGCTTACAGAGTTGGGAGGGATGATGATAAGTGAACAGAGCAAATCTCACCTGTCCTCAGAGACTGGGACTGGTGCCTAGTCTCATGCCGCAACCAGGTTAAGCAATCAATTACAGTGCTCAGTGTCCCTCTAGGAAACCAAAGTCAGACTCTCAAAGCTCTGGACCATGACCATTCCCAAAACTCAGGCCACAAGCTGATTGTTTATCACCGAAACAGCCAAACCACAGAGTCAACAACAATGAGATCATAAGATCCAAACTTAAAAGTCAGACTGAAAAATGTGCCCCTTAAGGTGGCAGGCTGCGGTGGTGGCAGGGAACCTGACGACACTGGTGGAAGGAAGTTGACACTGTGGTGGGATAGATGCTGGACCACTGTATGCCTAAAACTCAAATTTCAATAGCTTCCTAAGTCATGGTTTTAATTTAAAGTAGTAGTAGTAATAATAATAATAATAATAATAATAATAATAATAAAGAAACTGTGATAGATGCAGTATTTGTGTCATCCTAACTCCAAACCAAATTCCTGATGCTACAAACCTCAATATGCTGGGATGATGAGGTGATTAGGCTACATGAGTAGAGCCCTCATGACCGGGGTTTGGCTCCTTGTGAAAATAAGGGGCCACAAGAACAGGTGACTGGTAAAGAAACTATGGTATATCTACACAATGGAATACTACACAGCTGTTAGGAAAAAATGAAGTCATGAAATTTGCTTAAAAATGGATAAACATGGAGAGCATCATGTTGAGTAAAATAAGTCAGAGGGAGAGGGACAGACATAGAATGATTGCACTCATTTGTGGGATGTAAAAAACAGAGTATGAGACAATTAGGAACAGAAGAAACAAGGGCCAGGAGGACTTGTCCACTGGAAGTTTGCTACAGGTGGTGGTAGGAGAAGAGCAGTTAGGATAGAGAAGGGACCACTTAAGACAATGATAGTTGGAAATTATCACTCTGGAAAAGAACTGAGTGCTGAAAGGAGGTAAAAGGACAAACATGATAACCTTTCAGTATCTGTATCTCAGTATCTCAAACCAGAATGCCCAAAATGGGGGGGGGGAGGGAAGGGAGGGGGAAAGTGTGTGTGTGTGTGTGTGTGTGTGTGTGTGTGTGTGTGTGTGTGTGTGAGAGAGAGAGAGAGAGAGAGAGAGAGAGAGAGAGAAAGCCTGCCATAGAGGCGGACTGTGGGTGGTGGTGGAAGGGGAAACTGGGAACACTGGTGGTGGGAAATATACACTGGCAAAGGGATGGGTGTTGGAACATGGAACACTGTATGACTGAAACCCAACCATGAACACCTTTGTAACTGTATCTCACAGTGATTTAATTTTAAAAGAGAAAAGAAAAGAAGGGGCCAGAGTACTTTATTACAAGCACTTATCTTGTAATCTGGTGAGATTACAAGAAGTCAGCAGTCTGTAGCCTAGGAGAGGGTCCTCAGTGGAACCCAATCATGAAGACACTGTGACTCCAGACTTCCAATGCCCCAGAATCATGAAAAAGGTTTTTTTTTCTCTTTTTGGATCACACCCAGCGATGCTCAGGGGTTACTCCTGGCTCTGCACTCAGGAGTTACTCCTGGCGGTGCTTGGGGGACCATATGGGATGCTGGAAATCGAACCCGGGTTGGCCGCATGTAAGACAAATGCCCTGCCTGCTGTGCTATTGCTCCAGCCTGAAAAATAAATTTTTCTTGCTTATTTATAAGCCACAATGAAGAGTACTAATTTGAGGCTGATTAGAGGCTGCCCCAAAAGCCTCCATCCGTTTTGGAGAGCCCAGCAAGCTACCGCGAGTATCCTGCCCGCACAGCAGATCCTGGCAAGCTACCTGTGGCATATTCAATATGCCAAAAACAATGATGGTCCTCATTCCCCTATCCCTGAAAGAGCCAATATGCCACCAGGCTACATTAGCATGTGACAGGAGCAAATGGAGACGTTACTGATGCCCACTCAAGCAAATTGATGAACAATGGGATGACAGTGATAGTGATTTATAAGCCACTCAGATTATGGTACTTGGAATAGCAGCCTGAACTCTGACACACATCTTTATCACAAATCCTGGGAAAGCAAAACCCACCAAAATTATACATCCTATCAGGATGTCAGAAACATTCTCTTCTCTATGAAGACTTCACTACATGAGTAAATAATTACACGACTAATACTTTGCAACATTTCATTTCATAAGCCAAGCTTAAATAACAATTTCATTCCGTAAGCCAAGGTTAAATATTAAAGCACTTAGCGAAAATGTCCCCAACTAGTTTGACTTCTATAATGTGTGCCAAATAGACCTACATTTGCTTTCTTGAGCTGTTAGCAAAAACTGATTAAAAAGAGCTTTCAGACATCTCCCTGTACTTTGGAAGTTCGGCAATCATGCCCACGAATCACCTCTGGTACCAACCACGTAAGCTCTTTTACTAGCCATGATCCAGAGACTCAGAAATAAATCTCTAAAGAGATCTACAAGTGGCAGAATTTTTCCCGGATCCTACACAAGGCTGAGTCGTCCCAAGGCTACCAAGAGGGGGGTAGGTGAGCCCCTGCACCTGCCCCAACAGAGCCCTGGCAGCCGAAAACCTCCACACTCCATAATTGCCACCATGCTCCCAGCCAGACCCCACTGCTTGGACGAGCCTCATTGAGAAATCTGTTGAAACACTCCGGTTTAAGGGTTTTGTGACTGAATCTCCAGCTTTCATGGGGTTGAGGGATGGGATGCCTCCCCCTCCCCCATGGCTATTTCCCTGTACTTCCAGAAGCCTGGCAGTCATGCACATGTCCCAAAGCCACCAGTCAGTTAAGTTGTGGTTTTTTTTTTTAAATCCAACTCCAGCTGTATCAACTTGTTAGAAATTTTGGATACCCTGGAGCATGCATCTGTGATTTTGGCCATGTGACATCTGAAACTCTGTAATACTGATAAATCAGGAGTAGCACAGCAGATTGGATGGGATGTAACACAGAAGGCAACCAATCTTGATCAACAAAATGTAAATACAGAAGGCTTAACCTATAACAACATGTTAGTAATCTCTTATACAAGGGCTTAAGGGCTCCATGATGAGATACGACAATCTTCACTACTTTCTTCTAAGGAAACATTTATTGATCATCCTTTTAGCAAATTATAAGAAATAACATAAAAGAAATTTCTGAAGGCCTGCTATGGGGACAGGCTCAAGGGGAAAATTGTAAATAATGATGGTGGGAAGGTACAATGGTGGTACAATTGGTATTGGAATATTGAATGTCTGTAACTAAACTAATGACTTAATGAAGTTATTTTAAAAAGAATGGTTTCCATGGTTGTTAGATTTTTCTTACACAAATAAGGTAAATATGTAATTGCCAGAATTTTATAATTTGATACACATTAAAAATATTATTTTAAGGGGATGGAGCGACAGTACAGTGGGTAGGGCATTTGTCTTGCACGTGGCCAACCCGGGTTCGATTCCCAGCATCCCATATGGTCCCCCGAGCACCATCAGGAGTAATTCCTGAGTGCAGAGCCAGGAATAACCCCTGAGCATTGCCGGGTGTGACCCAAAAAGAAAAAAAATTCTTATTTTAATAAAGCAGACTTTGGCAAGAATTAAAATACAAAGAGCATTCAGGGCCAGAGTCATAGTACAGTGGGTAGGGCATTTGCCTTGCACACGACCAACCTGGGTTCGATCGATCACTGGCATCCCAGTGCAGAGTCAGGAGTAACCCCTGAGCATTGCTGGGTATGATGCAAAAAGGCAAAAAGCCAAAAAGAAAAAAAAAAGCAGATCCATTTTTTTTAAACATACATACTTCTTTCACAGAGAAGCCCATGGATAATGCAGCCACATCTGGAATCCGGTCTCCTGGGATAGGCCAATTTCCATCTCGGAAAACAACAGATCCTGGTGATCGTAATATACTAAATTCGTTCCCCCAAACACCTGTAAAGAGAACAGATTAAAAACCCCATGGTCAATGTCCTAAGTCTCTGGCACCTCCATAGAAGATGAAACACATTTTTCTCCACTCTTCACTGAATTAGCATACTAACTCACAGGACAAAATGCTAAATCCTAAACAATAACAAATCCTTTTTCTGAATGATCTAGATCTATTTTAAATCATTTTCAAAAATTGGGTTTCTTGTAGACCAATCCTCAGAGCAGCATGGGAAAGCTTATATAGGGCCTTCCTAAAATGGCCCTTAGCTAGAGAGAGAGTACAGAGTTAGGGCTCTTACCTTATATCCACCATCAACAGTTCGATCCCCAGCACCACACACGGTCCCCTAAGCATGGCCAGAAGCAACCTTGGAGCACCAGTCTTGGGAGCGTCCTGCAAACACTGTCAAGTGTGGCCCCAAACCCCTCCCCTCTCCGCCACTGGGAAAAAAGGTCCTTTAAACAGTGGCTCTGTGTGGCCAGAGAGATAGTACAGTGGCTAGGATGCTTGTCTTGCACAGGTGTGACCCAAAAGCCAAAAAAACAAAACAAAAACAAAATAATGCGGGTTCAATCCCTGACACCCCATATGGTCCCCTGAGCCTATAAGGAATGATCCCTGAGTACACAGCCTGGAGTAAGACAAAGAAAGCAAAACAAAAAAGATATCTGATCTTTCAAATGACTAAAGAAATCTATTTCTCATATATATTAAGCACATTTCCCAAAAAGCTTAAAATTTGCGGAGCAATTAGAACATCTTTTTGGGGGGTGTTGGAAATGCTTGGGGGCTACTCCCAGCTTGGTGCTCTGGGAACAATTAGGTACAGGGATGGAAGCAAGTTGGCTGTTAGGCAAGTACCGGATGTCCGGTACTGACTCTCTGGCCCCAGGCAAGCATCTTCTGTTACAGTATTTGTCTCCTGTCCTCTGTTTCAGGGCAATCAGGGTGAAATGGGCCTGGTGGTACCCATAATAAAGCAGACTCTGGCAAAAATTAAAAAACAAATAGCTTTCAGGGCCGGAGGGATAGTACAGTAGGTGGGGCATCTGCCTTCTCAGCCAGCCTTTCCCTCCCTCCCCATCCCTGCCACTGCAGCGAATTTTGGGGCTGCACCTAAATTTGGGGGCTGGCTGCTGGGGAATCAAACCCAAATCAAAGGTTGGAAGGTTTGAGCTAGAGTGATAGTATAGTGGATAGGATGCTTGCCTTGCATGCAGCCAACCTGGGTTCGATCCCCAGCACCACCAGGAGTAACTCTTGAGCTTGCTGGGGATGGCCCAAAACCCGGGGGAAAAGGTGGAGGGGGAGGCTGTAGGAAGCTTGGAAGTCTTAAGTGCTCCCCCTGATTTTTGGGGGGTATGGAGGAAGGCTGTAGCTTGAATCAAAGCCAGCTGCCAGAGAATCATCATACCTAAGTAATGAAACCTTCATAAAGCCCCACTCAAAAAAGGGTTTGGAGAGCTTCAGGATTGGTGACCATGCCAGTGCAGGGAACATGGTGGGCCTGGAGAGAGTAAAGAACCACCAAGCCCTGGCGCTGGAGCAACAGTACAGCGGGCAAGGGGCTTGCCTTGCACAGGGCTGACCCAGGTTCAATCCCCAGCATCCCAGATGGTCCTCTGAGCACCGCCAGGAGTGATTGTTGAGTGCAGTCAGGAGTAACCCCTGAGCATCAGTGTGGGTGTGACACAAAAGCAAAAACAAAACCACAAACTAAAGAACCATCAAGCCCTTTCCCTGTGTGTCTCCGCCATCTGGTGGCTCTTCCTGAGTCACAGACTCTTATAATAATCCAGTTATCTCAGTGTGCTCAGTATTTCCTGAGTTCCGTGGCTCTAGGAAATTCATTGACCACAAGGAAGGAGGGGGTCCTGGGACCCCCCCGTTTCTAGCTTGTTAGAAGCATTGGTGATAATTTGTGACTGGTATGGGGGCAGGGTAGGGAGGAGGATCTGGAAGGACTGAATCCTTGACCTGTGGAATTGGCTGCTCTCTCTGGGTTCCTCGTGTCGAAAATCGAGGTGAATTCTCAGACATGCTGCTGGCCGGTGTCCCCAGAGTTGCTCCACATACTGGAAATGGCATGTCAGAACACTTTAAAGAGTAAATGAATGAGTCGGAGAGATAGGCAGCGGGTGAGGTGCTTGCCTAGAATGTGGCCGACCCCATTTCATCCATGGGACTAATCCCCCTCACCCTCCCCAGCACAGAGTGATCCTCGAGCACAGAGCTGGCAGCAGCCCGAGTCCCTTGGGATGTGGGTCCCCTACCTCCCAAACAAAAGCAGGGCTTGCTCTTCAAGCCCATTTTCTCCCTTGAACACGTATCTCACTTGCTTGTCTCTATGTGTCTGTGTTCCTTTGCTTGATTTCCCCTCTGAAGAAGCTTGTGTTTTCTCGAACACGTTCTTCCTCTTTGTCTCCTTTCACATCTTTCTCTTGTTTAGATTTTTAAAATTAAAGTGCTGGGGCTGGAGCAATAGCACAGCAGGCAGGGCGTTTGCCTTGCACACAGCTGACCCAGGTTCGATTCCCAGCATCCCATATGGTCCCCTGAGCACCGCCAGGAGTAATTCCTGAGTGCATGAGCCAGGAGTAACCCCTGTGCATCACCAGGTGTGACCCCAAAAAATAAAGAGTTTCACTTTCTTAAAAAAAAAAGTACTGTGATTTACAAAGTGCCGAGATTCACAAAGTTATTCCTTGCATGCTGATATATTGTTCGTTTTGTATAATTGTATATCAAGTTCCAGATATATGATTTTCCAACACCAATCCCATCACCAGTATCAAGGACCACTCTGGCTGGACTCCAGGACCGTATGGGGTACCAGGGAATGAACTCTGGTCGGCTGAGTACAAGGCAACCACTGCAATATGGCTCTGGCTCCATCCTTTCACATCTTTCTAAGCAAGTTTCATTGGTTAAAAACAACCTTGCTTTACTTTAAAAAAAAATAAAGGAAAGAATGAATGAATGAATCACCCTCTTGATACATGCATTGGAAAAACCATTTCCTGGACTGTTTCTCCAGTCTCAAGTTTAGAGCATTTGGTCTTCTGATTGGTAACCTGTGCCCCATTCCTGCCCACCATTTGCCAGATGTAAGGAAAGTTAAGCTGTAGCCTAAGGTACACTAACCTGCTCAAGTTGTAGGAGGAAATTCTCAGAATATCGAGTCTGCATTTTGAAAATGGGGGTTAATGATAGAAGTGAGAGATTTCAGATTTCTGTGCCAGAGTTTTGACTTTTTTTTTCTTTTGGGGTCACACCCAGTGGTACACAGGGGTTACTCCTGGCGGTGCTCAGGGGACCATATGGGATGATGGGAATCGAACCCGGGTTGGCCGTGTACAAGGCAAACGCCCTACCCCCTGTGCTATCGCTCCAGCCCCTTGACTTTTTTTTTAATTCTTAAAATAAACCACTGATTTCTAATGATCAGATATGCCACAAAGCCCCTGTTTTTGTGCCACACCCGTTGGTACTCAGGAATCATTTCTGGCAGTGCTCAGGGGACCATAAGGGATGTTGGGGTCTAACCTGGGTTAGCTGTATGCAAGGCAAGTGTCCCACCTTTGCTCTGGCCCCAAAAGATCACGTCTTCTAAGTCACAGTAATAATAAAGACAATCTAGTCTAGGGGTATTGAGGGTTGGAATTAAGAAATGGAAAAAAAATTGTACTATTTTTTGTGCCCCCTACCCCAGTCAAAGGATGAATTATTTGGCCTCTTATTCCAGTATGTGTTAACCCAATGAAGTCTAGTTTACACGAAGGAAGACAAGGAGTCACTGAAAATTTGGGGCCTCCTATGAAAATATTAACACCCAATCCAAACCAAAGCTGGCCATGAAATAAGCCTTTAATAAAGCCTCACTGTTATTATATGCTTGACCTAGGGAACAGGGTACGGGAATAAAGTTGGAAGCAACAGCAAATGTTCTGGTGCTACAGTATTGACAGTAAATAAAAGGCCCCAGGATGGTGATGAGACAACCCGGAGAGTTATGAATTTCAATTCGGTGCAGCTGCCAGAGCAGGAATTTCCAAACTATTCTCGCCCAAGGAGGACCAAGAAACTTCACAGAAGAGTCATCCGGAACTGATAGATACCTTGGCTCACGAAAGCAGAAGTTACTGTAATCTCTGAGAAAATGGATCGGCAATAGACCTATATGTTCCAAGCACCCTTACACATTTAAAGAGCCACGTGTCGACTGAGAGAGGAGCCAGATTTGAGACGTGGCCTGACTCACAACTCACAACCCCTGCAAAGTCAGACTTGGCCTCAAACCTGCAGATGAGACTCTGCTGCCCTGCTGGTACCCACTGTCCTCCCCTGAACCTGGAGCTTTGGAAAACCTGGATCAAGGACTCCTATTCTGAGATAGGGCACCAGCCCAGACCCCTGGGGGTACCGGACCCAATCCTCATCCTCTAACTGAATATGACAGTAAAAACGAAGGTCGCCACTCCAACATCAAGGCAGGTTCATTTGCCAGCAACCATTCCCACGGTCCCAACAGTCTAGCCCTTTGCAAAGTTTTTCTTTGTGCTGAACTGAAATGAACTTCCCAAGGGCTTTCATCTTCTTACTTTATCACTCCGTCTCACTAGATCATCTCATGTCCATTTTTTTTTTGTTTTTTGGGTCACACTCAGCAATGCTCAGGGGTTACTCCTGGCTCTGCACTCAGGAATTACCCCTGATGGCGCTTGGGGGACCATACGGGATGCCGAGGATCAAACCTGGTTTGGCCACATGCAAGGCAAATGCCCTACCCACTGTGCTATCGCTCCAACCCCTCAAATCCAATTCTGAGAGAAAGCAAAGGACTTCCTCCACCTACCTGTGGCCTTTCCACCACAAATGTATCTGCCCTTATCATCGTTTATCCCTCTACATGGGGAGCCGGTGCAAGAAAGAAAGACCTTCTTTCACTCACCTGTGACAGTCACTTTTACTAACTAATTCTGGAGTGTACGTGTGGCCATAGGCACCAAAGTGGTTCCTGATAGACTACACATTTACAAGTGCAGGGATTTCAGTTGGTCTTATCCATATGCTACCCCCAGCCTGAGAACAGTACCTGATGTATAGTACTCACTGAATGAATGCAGTACAATATGGAATGCCCTACCCATTTCTCCCTCTCCACAGGCTTTCACTTCAGCATCAAAATCACTGGGGTGCTCTCATTCTTTTTCTTTTCTTTCCTTTTTGGTTTCTGGGCCATGCCAGTAGGGTTCAGGGGCTAACCCTGGCGATGCTTAGAGGCCCACATGTGGTGCCAAGTGTAGATTACAGGGACTGGGGGCTGTTAGAGCACATGCAAGACACAAAACCATGGTTTCTCCGGCCAGGGTAGGGGTGCTCTATCAGGAAGCATGGTCCCCTGAAGCATCAGTGGGGACAATTCCTATATATGCATTGCCAGGTGTGGACCCCAAGACTCCACACAGGTAAGGAGTCTACCACTGGCCTGAAGTCAGAGTTCTCAAAGATGTTTTCCATGAAGTCACATCTAATCATTGCAGAAGACAGTAACTTAACTTCACCTGGCAAGATCAAGCAATGTGGAAACTAACAGAATCAGATTCTCGCAAAACACATTCAAACCCTGTACAGAAGCAATTATTCTGCCTCAGACCAAAAACAACCCTCCTGGGGCCACCCTACAGTGGGAAGGGTGCTTTTGCCTTGCACATGGCTGAGCCGGGTTCAATCCCCAGCATCCCATATGGTCCCCTGAGCACCGCCAGGAGTAATTCCTCAGTGCAGAGCCAGGAAGGAGTAGCTCCTGAGCATGGAAGGGTGTGCCCTCCCCCCAAAACACAAATCCCCAAACCCTAAACTACATGGAGTCCAAGTATTAATCCTACCAATAAAAACTTTTAAGAGCTGTTACTTCCCTCACAGTTAAATCACAGTATCAAAGGACAGATTTTCCAATGTAAAAAATGGAAATAAATAAAAAGGAAAAGCTCCCCCCAAAGTCACTTTCTAAATCAGATTAATCAGAATAATCTTTTCAAAGCTAGAAACAAGCAGGAAAGGAGGGCTGAGGAGATGCTCAGTGGTTTGGGCTCAGGCTTTGCTTACAGGAGGCCTGGGTGCCACCGCTGGCATCACATGACCCTCCGAACACCACGAGGAGTGGTCTGTGAGCACTGAGCCAGCCAGGATCAGCCGCTAGGTGTACCCCCAAGTCGGCCCCCATCACTTCAGCAATAGCATTCCCACTAACTGAGCATATAGATTCCCCTACCAGTATATGCAGACCCAGAGAGGCCCTGGTTTTGCAGCCAGGTGATCTGGATCCAGTTCCAGCTTTATTACCTATGTGGTACTGTGTGATTTACCTAAGCTTGATCATTCTGAATTCTGGGAGGTGGGGGCAGACCCAAAGGTGCTTCCAGATTGCCCCAAACGGTGTTTCAGGACCAGCAGTACCAGAGATTGAACACCAGCCTCTGGCATACCCAGCACACATTCCAGCCCACTGAGAATTCCCCTGAGGCATTTTTTGTTTTTGTTTTTTGGGTGAAATTTTGTGCTGGGTGATGAAACCCAGGGCTCCACACCAGGCAAGGGTTCTACCGCTGAGCCACATTCAGGCCCTGGGCTCGATCACTCGAAAAGAAGGACTGGTACAAAATTTACACGAATTACATGATTCCGCAGGAACAGGTGAAACACTGGCTGACCTGTACTCCTGAACGCGAGGGAACCTCGGTTCCCTTCGGAAAGCTCCCATTTCTGGGCCATGTGACCCAAAGAACATGACTCACATCTTAGTTTCCAAATCCTTTAAAATTGAGAACTGGGACCAAAAAAGTATCCGGAGGTACTTGGAATTTGCCTTGAAAATTAACCATACAACTTTTGTCTCGTGTAACATGTTCGAGGGCGGGACGGCGATCTTAGGAATTACGAACGACAACCGCTGAGAAGGAAGACACCAGAAACTGCAAAGAGACGCAGCGGCTTTGGTCAGCCCAGAAGGGCTCATCATCAGCTATCAATCAATTGAGAAACGCACCCCCATCCTTCAAGCGCCTCCCGAGCCGGAAGAGGCCGGGAGGACCCGGGGCCGGTGGCACGACGGGCGGACGCACCTTCCACGAACAGGCGGAAGGTGGAGGCCGGCTCAGGTGCCCCCCACGCAGCCCGGCCCGGGCCACCCGTGAGGCCGCGCCGCCGCGGTCGGGTCCAGAGAAAAGGTCGAGAGGGAGGGGGCTGGGGCGAGGACGCCGCCGGCTGCCCGCACTGCGGCACCGGCCCCGCTGTCCCCCACCCGTCGCCGCCCCCGACCCCCGAGCCTCAGACCCTCCCGGAGCACGCCCCGCCCGCCCCCCGGGTCCTCACCCGCCACCAACAAGGACAGGAGCACAACGAGCCCAGCCATGGTTCCACGGCGGCGGCGGCGGCGGCGCGGGGCAACCCGGAACAGGCCGGCGGGACGCGAGCGACCACCGCAGCGCGAGGGGGTGACGCTCTCCGGCTCTTCCAGACTCCCGGAGCCCGCCCCGTCGTTGCCTCCTCCGGGAAGCTGCCGCCTTCTCCACCAATCGTCGGCGACGCCGTGTTCTACGAGACGGACGTCATTCGGTCTCGTCCGCCGATAGGCGAAGCCTAACTTGATGGATGGGTGACGCTACCAATCGTAAGCAGGAATCGAGGCTCCGGGCAGTTCCGCCCCCCGGCCCGTGACGACCGGTCACGAGATGGAGGGTAGGGCGAGCGGTGAGAAGCCGGGGAATGACAGGGCTGATCGCCGGGTCCCGGGAGCCCGCGGGGTGGGGTTGCATCCAGTGTGAGGACCCCTTGGACGTTTCGAGCAATGGTCTGCCACCGGGGTGTCTATTTTTTCCCGTCGTGGGGCTGAGCCCCGCTCAGGGTGCAGCTCTGGGAACTGCCGGGCTGGTGTGGGGTTCGCTCTAACAATTGCATAGATGTTGAGCACCTGCTAGGAAGAAGCCCGGCGCCCCGAGAATCTTTGCCCTCCTAAGTTAAGCGTCAGACAAAACCCAAGGTGTGAAATTTGAATTTCAGAGCAGTTGCCACTACTACTAATTTTTAGCGATAAGCATGCCGTGAATTTTTCCCGGGACGGATTTCTACAAACTGGAAAACCTATTCGTTGTTTAGCTGAAATTCAAAATAATGGGTGCTCAGTATTTTTGGTTTACGAAATCTGGCCACCCTGCCGCTCCTAGACGAGAATATTGCTCAATGACTTCCTTTATCCATTCTCTTAGGATCACGTGAGGGCTAGACATGACAAGAGTCCTCCTTCCCGCAGCTAAGAGTTTCCGCGAGGGTTTGAGACTAGAAGTGACTCCGTGTAGCGTCTGTGGTCAGACAAGGATCTCCCAACTCCTGACCGCGGGTTTCAATCTGCAAGGATAAGAGGTGCAGAGAGTAGGGAATACAAATTGTAGGGTGTGGCAGGGAGAAAGCCTCGTCAAAGCCGAACATTAACCGCTTTGCCAAAGAAGAGAAAGAGGGAAGAAGTGCACGGGAGACCCGTGAAACTAAAATTTTCCAGTCAGGGACGTGTTTGTTGAGCATATGGAATGTTACATAAAACAGATACACTACAGATTCAGTTCATCCAGCCTCAGAGGAAGATGCATAGCAAGCCTTATTAAGTAGTCCTTATACTTGGTTAGTTTTTCTGTGTACAGGATTTATGTACATGAATATATGATCTATGACCCTTCTAACAACTTGCTTCCCCTAGAAACTGAGTCCCTTTCCTTTGTCTTCTCATTTTCTCTAATTTTTTTCCTTTTGGGGTCACACCCAGCAATGCTCAGAAGTTACTCCTGGCTCTGCACTCAGGAATCACTCCTGGCGGTGCTTGGGGGACCATCTGGGATGCTGGGAATCGAACCTGGGTCGGCCATGTGCAAGGCAAATGCCCTACCTGCTGTGCTATCGCTCCAGCCCCTCATTTTTCTAATTTTAATAGTTCTTTGGTTAAAATGATATGTAAGCCCAAGTAACTCACCACTTTGAGTTACTCTTTTGTTTGTTTTTCTGTCACACCTGGTAATGCTTAGGGGTTACTCCTGGTTCTGTATGCAGGAATCACTCCTGGTGGTTCTCAGAGGAACCGTATGGGGTGTTTTGGATTGAACCCTGGTCAGCCATGTGTAAGGCAAGTGCCTTAATGGCTATACTACCTCTTTGGCCCAAGTTACTCATTTTTGGGTGGTTTCACATGTGTGTGTGATGCACTTGTTAATAGCCCGGCTTTTCACCATTTTTCTTGATTGTATGTGTTTGGTATCTGGGTTCAGACCCAGGTATCAAGTATATAAGGCAGGCACTTTATCACTGAACCACATTCTTGGCCCTCTCTTACAAATGTGTATTTGTGTGGTTTGGGGGCTATACCTGGCATTCATTAGGGCCAAATCCCAGCTCTAAGCACAGGGCTCACTCCCAGTGGTCCTCCGGGGAGGATGTGTAGAAAGGAGAAACCAGGGTCAGCTGCATGCAAGGCACAACTGCCTTAACCCCTGTCCTATCGCTCTGACCGCTCATGTGAATGTTTTTGTTTGTTTTGGTTTGGGAGCCACACCCAGTGCTGCTTGGGGTTACTACTGACCCTGCATGCAGGGATCACTCCTGGCAGGCTCAGGGGACCAAATGTGGTGCTGTGGATCAACCCCGGGTCCACTGCATGCACGGCAAGTGTCCTACCCACTATACTATCATTGTAGCCCCTTCATGTGAATGGTTTTTCTTTTTGTTTGTTTGTTTGTTTGTTTGTTTTGCTTTTTGAGTCACACCCGTCGATGCTCAGGAGTTACTCCTGGCTTTGCACTCAGGAATCACTCCTGGCAGTGCTCGGGGGACCATATGGGATGCTGGGAATCGAACCTGGGTCGGCTGCGTGCAAGGCAAATGCCCTACCCGCTGTGCTATTGCCCCATCCCCTCATGTGAATGTTTTATCAGTCTAATTTACAAGGACCAAACATCAACTGTGGGGCGTTGCTTTTTGTGAGTGGTGACAAACCTGGGACCTCAAGGCGAGTGCTCTGTTGTTCAGCGACATGCCCAGCTAACACAACTCTTTTACTTAAAGAAACACCAGCTTATTTCTCTACCAAGGTGGGTAGAGAAAGTTTTTTTTCCTTTCTCTATAAAAGCATTAACTGACACATCACCTCGGGAAGAAGAGCCCTGGATGCAGTGTCATATTGCACTGCATTGATACACTGCATACTATGGCAAACATAATGGGATCCAGCCTATAAGAGATGTGGTACAATTCAGCATTTCTCAGGATATTCTAAAGGGGCTGTAGGTGAAAATTGCATAAACAGGGAGCCACAGCCTGAGGTTAAAGGGGCCATCCACTAGGACAAGACTCAGAAACACAGGTGTCATTGATAGATACCTATTACTTTTTTTTTAAAGGTTTATGGGTCACACCCAGTGATGCTCGGGTTACTCCTGGCTCTGTGCTCAGGAATCACTCCTGGCGGGCTTGGGAGCCCATACAGGATGCCGGAGATCGAACCCGGATTGGCTATGTGCAAGGCAAATGCCCCCTGGACGGACTATCACTCTGGTGCCAGTGTTACAGGACTTTAGTGTATTAAACAAATAACCTCTGTGGTCCTTGATTCCAAGATGACCAAAAAAGGAAGCAATAATAGCTCTGCGAAAAAGGGGTACAGCCACAGACACCTTTTTATTTACTGCACCAATGGTGTCCCACTGTGTATTCAAGGACAAGGTTATTAAGTTCCTCACTGGAAAAAAAGAGTTGGGGTGAAAGTCTTCAGGGCTGTTTCTGGTTTGCGAGATTTATTGCACTTCTGAAATTTATAGCTTCTGGTATCATTCACAGTGAGGGAGTAGAACAGTGCTCGTGAAACCCCGAAGAACCCAACCAGAACCCTTTCAGACTCGGGGCAGCTGCTTCATGGGCTGGAGAGATAGCACAGTGGGCACAGTGCTTGCCTTGTATACAACTGACCCAGGTTCCATCCCCGGAACCATATACGGTACACCCCTTCCCACAGGACTGCCAGGAGTGATCTCTAAGCACAGAACCAGGAGTGTCAGGAGTAAGCAAATACTGCACTCCCCCAACCCCAAAGAGCAAAATCCTTAAAGACTGAAGACTACCTTGTCCTCAGGAAAAAAATAAAATGTAAATAGAATATATATATATATATATATATATATATATATATATATATATAGCAAACCTGCATTTCATCTGGTAGGAAATGGGGAAAAACTGGGAGTATTCGGGCATTGTTCTGAGACAAATGTCAAACTTGTTGCAAGGAAACACCTTGTTTTCTCAGTTTCCAGTCTCCATTTTCTTCTTTTTGTTTTTTGGGGGAGGCCACATCCAGCGAAGCTCAGGACTTATTCCTGGCTCTGTGCAGGGGAAAGGGGATCACTTCTGGTGGGGCTCAGGGGACCAGATAAGGTGCCAAAGATCAAACCTAGGTCAGCCGTGTGCAAGGCAAATGCCTTACCTGTTGTACTGTTTCGCTCTGGTCTCTATTTTCTTCTTAGGATCAACTGAGAATAAGGCTGGAGAAGGCACAGGTGAAAGGAGTGACCTCAGGGAGTAGGGAGCTGGCCCAGAGTCCAAGGTCACAAAGTTCCGCATTATCTGGTTTCCGTGGGACTTCATTCTTGCATGAGGCTCACCCTGTGCATCCGGAAAGCGGCCTGGAGCGTGGCAGTGGTTGGGCAGTGGAGGTTGGCTGCTGGGGCTGGGTCCCTTGGATTGAGGACTCCACAGCCTGGTGTGGTGTCCGGTGGCATGGTTCTGGGAGCCTTCTTTTATACTCCCCTCTGGGAAGAGCATCCGAGAGTTCTGGAGGGTGGCCGATGAGAAGTGAAATTAGGCCAACTAAAAACCAAGGTCAGAACACTCCCAAATACTCACATTGGGACATCCTAGAACCTTCTCGTTTTACCATATCCACTCTCAGATTAGATAATGAAATCTTGGTTTTCTCACTTGTAGGAAATTATTGACACTCAGCTTTGCACTCTTCCAGAGGAGAATTTGCACAAATGTGGCTTTAAGGAGGAGATATATTATTTTTCATCAGTAATGTAAAATTAGAGATTACCAGAAAAAAAAAAGTCTAAAGCACCTTTAAGATGACTGGCCTGAAGAAAATAGATGACAAGAATTATAATAATTTAAAATTTTCATTTTAATTTGATTTATATATTTTTTATTTGGAGGCTACACCCAGCAGTGTTCAGAGGAGACTGCAGGCTCGGTACTCTGAGTGGTGCTTGGGGGACTATGTGGTACTGGGGATCAAATCCAGGCCTCTGCCATGCAAAGCATGTGATGAGCCCATTGGACTATGTCTCTAGCCTTAAATATTTTTTTGTTGTTGTTTTTTGAGTCAAACCTGAAAATGTACTATCTTCGGCCCCCCTCCCAAATTCATTTTTAAACACAATGGAGACATTTCTTCCATTATTTATATTTTTCAGGGGGTGAGTGCGTATTGGGACACACTGAGCTGTGCTCAGGGTTTACT